AAAGCCAACTGTTTGTACTGAATGGCAAGAATGTTCTAGTAAATGTGTACCAAAATGTGAATTACTTTGTACGATTACAGTCTCCACGTCGACCTAACCGAATATTATTGGTATTAATGTGCTTTTTTTGTATAAAGTGCAAACATTTCGTCCCAAAGTCTAAAGTACTTTAGTGCAGTAAAATGTTGTTTCACGTCCTGTCAAGAATTCGTATAGTACGAGCCTGGATCTGCGTGTCAAACTGTTCCATTTGTTTATGTAAAGTGATATTAAAAAAAATATAAACTATAACTGTCCGTTGCTTTTGGCAAAAGATACAACCACATAATGTATATAATTCCTAGTTTCCATATTTATCCGCATGTAAAGGGCCGGTTTATCCATGTTACAGCTCTTCAATATTTATGACTAGAAGAACTCGTATGTACACTTTAGTTTCCAGAACTGTTTGGTAACCTTTCGTACCTTATTAAAGATTCTTAAATCTCAGTGATTGTGGTAGGAATTTCTTCTTCACCCACCAGCAACCTGCTGCCTCTCCTGCCAGCCTTCGTGGGTCTTCGGAAAAACTCTCCAGTCTCCCTCGCCTTCCCTTTCTGTCATTGCAGGTCGTATAAACGTGATAAATGAACGCTACCCTGCTGGCTCTCCGAGAGAGTGTAATTAGTATTTATATCAAAATTTATGAAACAAATTTTCGGCCGCAGTATAATTTAAATGACCTTTGCAGACGTAGAATAACAACCATAAAAATAACAGAAATAGATTGCACAGGCGACATCAATATTAATGTAGGCGAATTGTCAGAAGCTCAGGGGCTTGCTCTGCAGCGTTGCAAATGAACTTGCAGCCGAGAGTTCTGTTGCCCCCCAGATTCAATTCCCTGGGCTGAAACCGAGTTACAGATTTACAATATCATATTTTAAATTGCTGTCTTCAATTAAACCATTTATAGCCATAACTAATTTTCAGGATGTCGACGCATGCTTTTCCAGGCCTTCCTTCTTTGCACAAAAGTAAACGCCCATAAAGCGTTTCACTTATATTTCTTCAAACATGATGCTAATTTAAATTAATTACTTCCTGTGATATGTTATTATTCCTATAATTTTGCCACTGTTATTAGTTCTCTAAAAATACATCTAGGGAAGAGGATTATTTTAGGTAATTTGATTATCTTTCTATCTCTTTTATTTATTTCTCATTTACTTAAGAAATTCGTTCCATTGGCTGGCGTTGATACAGTAAATTTGTAAATGAGGAGACAATATAAAAAATCTAAATTACTTGTGCTTAATGACTGTGGCAGAACGCCTTTTCTCTAAATCAGATTGTCTTTCTTGCAGTTTAGTTTGATAGATTTGCAAGCTATGCTGCTTCCGCGAAGTTAGCTGCGCTGGTAGGAACGCAGGCTTCTTTGTCTCTGGTTGTAGCTTGCATGATCGCCCCATTAGGCAGAAAACGTGGCCAGAGATCACAAATCAGGCTCTTGGCTATACTGCAAGGGTGTAGATGTGTCAGAGTGGGCAGCAGAAACTGAACTCGCTGTGAGCTGTGAGCAAGGAGGACCGTGGGGCTGATTTTTTAACTATGTGTGTTCAGGAAGTCACAGGCCATATTGACTCTGAAAAGGAAAACAAGAGAGAAAACCCCCATAAAGTATGAGAACCTCTTAAAATGCACCTATCTTAAAGCAAAATTAATTTTTCAGATGTTACCCTGGACAAATGACAAAATAGAATGTTGAATTATCTTTTAAAATCCATAGTTGACTTGTCCTTTCATCTCTTGCTATTTGTATTTGTCACTTTTAGTCAACAAAGTCTTATTTGCTGAGAAAGGGACTTGCTGCACTTCCTGTAGCACATCAAAAACTGAGGATGGTGGTGTTTAACTTTTAAAAAAATGTTATTCTGATTATAACAGTAATGTTGGTCTTTCATGAAAAGAGCGCCACCTTGCAAGGTTTGGTGAGATTTAAAGAAGTTGAATACCTGGACAGGAATTGCTGCTGGCTCCCAAAATCTGTAAACTAAAAGTGGTCCCAATTGGCTTTGGAGGTTTGAAATTGATTAACAGTGTAATATTGGAAGTGACTCCAGACATTGGGTCCAATAGTTAAAAATAGGAGGAATAAAGATAGCTCATCTTTCTAGGAAAGATAGCATCTCAATTAATAATCCTTCCCCCTTTCACTGAGATCAGATTGTCTAGCAATCTGATAGGAGTATACTAATGATAATCATAATAATAATGGTACTTTTGTAATTTTGCTGGTGCATTGAAGAAGATAGCAAATGATGAGTTGATCTTTTCTTTGACCATTCCTATTCCTAAGTGAGGTTTACTTCAAATTTGGAATTATAAATGTCTCATTTATGTTAGGCAACTAATGCCTTTTTTGATTTAATATCATAGTGTAATAATTAAAGACCACGCTATGACATATGATTTAAGTAGGAAATTTTAAGTATACATTTTAGGGATAAATGTATGCTTCAAAACCACTTTATATTTCAAATGTTTATTTAGACTGTAGAGGCCAAATAATTTTTTAAAAACCATTTGAGGAGTATTGTGTGCGTGTTTGTGAATAATTTCACTCACAGCAAATGAACTTTTATAATAGAAGCCAACATTTATGTCAACCCTCCCCGTATTCTGTCTTCCAACGCCCACCATAAAGAAGTCATTAATGATGTAGGTTGCCTAAAATAATGCTTCAAACTTAAATGTAGTCTATTATTTTGCTGGTACCTTTAATGTCTGCTTCTTGAGATGTATTCTTCATACTTTTCTTCATGGGCTATTAGGTTTTGAAATACATGAATGTAAACAGCAAAATATATTGTTAGACTCTATTTAGCAGGAGCTGAACATGCTGCAAATGGCTGGTTTCTGGGTGTAGCTGTAGATTTTGACTTAGGCAGAAGGCCATCCTGGTTCATATTGCAACTGCATTGTATTCTGGATATCACCAAATGATTAGAACAGCTAACATATTATTAAAAAGTTACGTTGTGTCAACAGAAAATGACTGAGTACAAGCAATCATATTTGAGAAATGAAGAGAAATGTGTTGTGGTATCTGTGTGTACATTTATAAAGCAAGCATATAAATATACAAGCATCATTTATATGGGGGTTAAGTAATTTTCAAACATTTCAGATCCTTTGTTTTCTTCTTCAAAAACTGCCCCCAACTGCTTTAAGCATTTGCATCTGATGATTTTGATTTTTTAAAGTCAAGCATTCAAGTTAACCTTTAAGACGCAAACCACCTCCAAACGAAAGATGTAACCTTTCAATTGCCCCATCTGCTCATTTTATTTATTTATTTATTTATTTTGGCTTTGGCTTTGGCTGACGATGAAAATAGCACTAACCTTCTTTGCTGATGGGCCTGGCATTTAGATGTTTTTATTTGTTGATTGTGAAGAGTTCTCAGAACTTTTAAAGGGCTGGCAACAGAAATATACCCCTAAATACCTTACCTGGCCCCTAAATCTTCTAGAAGTTCCCCTTTTGCGGCTAACATTTAATCAGTGTCTGAGGCCCCTTGTGAGTCAGTGCTGGTGGAGTTGTTACCTGTGCATACCGCTTTTCAAGAAATGACTTGGAGAAGGCCCAGGGCCTTAAAGAGTAGATCTAGTTTATGATGTTTTAAGGAACTACTGTGTGGTCTGGCACACTCAAAATAAAAACACTGAGCTTGCGCCCTTGCTTGTTTGTGGACTAAATATGAGAACATCAGAAGTTACACATTTCCAACTTAAGTTTCTTTCCTTTTTCCCACTTAAAATGCTAATTGCTAATTTGTATCTTCCTGTCTAGGTACAGAGTTCTTGCCTCTTCCTAGCATCAAGTGTAGTTCTTAGAACTACGTGTTCATATTGGGGGAGGTGTTGTTTTCATAGAGTTGGCCACAGTTGATATCACTTTTTTTTGGTTTTAGAATTCTTGAAAATAGGATGGCAATGGAAAGATTGATCCTGTCTCTGCCAGTCAAGTCGCTAAAGGTTCACATTACCCATGGTGCTCTTTTTTCAGCTTTTAACCATCCTGTCCATAGTCTGCAATAGGTACTCATTTAAACTGGTTAGATATAGAAAGTAAGATTATTATGGAGTAAACATACAGCAATCTATTTTTTTCATAAGATAACCACTAGTTTGAGGAAAGAAATAAGAAAAATGTTAACTTCTTTTAACATGTCACTCTTCCCTTTTTCTCAAAGTTTTTGTAAACACAATGGTGTAATAGGCACCACCTATGAACAATGTTTTCTTTAAATCTGTGTAAGGCTGGCTTGCTCCAGTCTCTCCTTTAGCAAGAGGAAACACATTAGGTCAAACCAGGAGCTATTTTTACTGTGCAAGCTTGAATCTGTCATCAGTTTGTAAGGTTAATTTCTACTTTAGAGTGACGAGCTAAGACAATGCGAAGTTTCCAATTGATTCTCTACT